CCATGAACCAAAGGCTAGAAACGAGATTGTTTAGTTCTCAAACCTCCAACACCATCCCAAAGGGTGTATAAACCAAAGGGTTCACACTATTGACATAGCCTCTTTGTGAAAGGGTGAGGAAGATCTCTAATCCACAAATTTGACCACCACCAATTGCATGGATTTCTAACATTCATTATGCTAATTGACAAGCCACTAATTTGACTAATGAAAACCTATTTCTCACCTTAATTATGCCAATTAGCAAAGCTTCGGGGCTCCTTGGGAGTTAAAGGGAGCTAAGCACTGGAGGAAGGCACCTGCGGAGCGTGGGCTCTCTCATTAGATCCTAGATGACCATTCTTTGAGTGTATATTCCCAGTGAGGATGGTTGTCAGACCGTGGAATGTAATTTACGCTAATTTCAGAAGCACACAGCTGTATCATATTGTCCCTGACCAAGTATTTGAAAGTAAATGATAGACATCCTTACTAGCTGTTAACTATTCTAGGAATTCAGTGGGAAGGGCAGGTTTCTGTGTCCTGGTGTTAGGGCTCCACCTGTAGGGTGAGCTGGGTTGATCTAAAGAGTTCCCACCGCCCCTTTGCACCCTAGTTTTTCTCTGACCTTAGAAAACCCCGTTTAATGATTCTTTCCTATCCTCCTGTTTTTTGCACTGGGACATAGTTCATTTCAAAAAGGGCTTTCCTGTTGATTTCATGAATGTGCATCTTATCTGAATCCGGAATCACATTCACCTAATCTGAAGCATGGAGAAAGTTCTGGACCTTCTTATCTTCAAAGAGAGCAATAAGCATGTGTTGTTTAAACAAGACAGCATTTGAGGATACCAAACCCAGACTCCTGCCCAATCAGGATACGCTGGATTTCCAGCCCATTTCCATTTACCTGGTGTGGTTACCGATGGCTTTGATTACATCAGGCCATGCATGAAAGCAAATTCTTGCTGCTGACAGAACTCAGGAATTTGCTTTTTTGTTATCATTGTTGTCTAACTTTACAAAACTGCAGGACCTCTGGTGCATGATTGTGAATCAGTAATGCAGAGTTGTTTATCTCTTTGAATACTTTTATGACAATTAGAGGTTAAACTTGCTGCTCTCTGAGTAAATGGAATTGAGCGTCAGGAAGAATTTTCTGAATTTATGGAAAATGGGGGACTGGACGCCATGTAGCTCATAAGAAGGAGGGCCTCTTTCCTGCTTACACCCTCCAGTGTCTAGAGGTTTAAAAAATGTATTGGAAAGGAATCATCTCAAATTACACTGGAACCCCCAAATTTTGACATATAACAAGTAACTAGCCGTTTTTTTTTTTTTGTTTTTTTTTNTTTTTTTTTGAGATGGAGCTTCATTCTTGTTGACCAGGCTAGAGAGCAATGGTGTGATCTCTGCTCACTGCAACCTCCTCCTTCCAGGTTCAAGCAATTCTCCTGCCTTGGCCTCCCAAATAGCTGGGATTACAGGCATTTGCCACCTTGCCTGCCTAATTTTTTTATTTTTAGTAGAGATGGGGTTTCACCATATTGGCCAGGCTGGTCTTGAACTCCTGACCTTGGGTGATCTGCCTGCCTCAGCCTCCCAAAGTGCTGGGATTATAGGTGTGAGCCACCATGCCTGCCCTTTTTTTTTTTTTGACACAGAGTCTCACTTCCTCACCTAGGCTGGAATGTAGTGGCGCAATCTTGGCTCACTGCAACCTCCACTCTCTGGGTCCAAGCGAGTCTCAGGCCGAGTAGCTGGGATTACAGGTGTACACCACCATGTTGGCCAGGTCGGTCTCAAACTCCTGACTTCAAGTGATCTGCCCACCGTGGCCTCCCAAAGTGCTGAGATTACAGGCGTGAGCTACTGCTCCCTGCCAAGTAACTAGCATTTTAAAAAATCTCAGTTTGACTGATCATAGAAGACGTAACTACTTGTAACATAATTTCTGATTCAAAGATTATGGCAGTTTTGTAATTTTTTTTTTCAGACAATCGCAAAAGCATACTGTCAAATTGTCTTCTTAGAATTAAAAAATTCAGCACCAAAACAACTATTTCTAGTTCAAAAAGTCTGCCTTGGAAAGAGCTGATATAGTTATTGAGTTCTAAAAAGAAAACACGGAAAGGCATCTGCTCATTCATCATCGAACACTTGAAGTGTGAAATATTCAAGAGAAAGGGACAATGCTGACGTGAGAAGCCAAAAAGTGTTCTTGGGAAATGCTTTGGCGACAGGCCCCATCATCATTCCTACCTCTGTGATTAGCAACAAGAGACAAAGAGAGGCACGTTCTTCACTTGCCTGATTCAGACTAAGAAAACTCCAAAATAGACTTAGGGCTTTCTTGGAAGTACAGGAAACTCGATTATTTATTTATTTTTTTTAAGAGTATTGTCTACTGGAGCTTATTGTTGCTGCTAATTTCATTATAACCCTGCAGAATAAGCCCCCCCCCCATGTTTAATGAGTGGATTAATTAATTAAACTATAGAACTAATTATTTGCCTTTTAGTTTCCTTTATATTACGTTGCCCTCCTTCCTCTCCTTGAGTATTCTAAAGCATCTTGTGTTTCAGTAGAGCAATGTTTTCTAACCATATTTCCGTCCTACCAGCTTGCTACTGTCCCCGCTCGCCCCCCACCAAGCCAGAAAGGATAGAAGGAAAGCTCTGCTATTCTCATACAGAATATTAGCAGTGAATCATTGGCCAAAAGAAGACAGGGGGTAAGGGTGCCATAGGTTATCTGACTCATCTTAGCATTGCTGCGAGTCTCTCTTTGTTTCTCTTCTTAATCCAACAATAACTTTCCATGAAGTGGGCTAATTTTGGCCTACGTTTACTTGAAATTGAGTGGCAGCCAGTAAATTTCAACATTCAAATTTTCTGTAATTCTTAATGATAATGTGAGTAGAAGTTACTGACAATGCCTTATTCAAAAAAACGTTTAGTTAATAGTTTTAAAATGGCTGGCCATGCAGGATGGCTCACACCTGTAATCCCAGCACCTTGAGTCCAGGAGTTTGAGACCAGCCTGGGCAACATAGCAAGACTCTATCTCTACCAAAAAGTTTAAAAATTAGCCAGGCATGGTGGCATCCACCTGTAGTCCTAAGGGAGACTGAGGCAGAAGGATCCCATGAGCTTAGGAGTTCAAGGCTGCAGTGAGCTATGATCACATCACTGTACTCCAGCCTAGGCAACAGAGCAAGATCCTGTCTCTTAAAAAAAAAAAAAAAAAAAGACAGTGTCAGCAAAAACTACTATTTAATGATGGTCAAAAATAAAAATAAAGACAATAGCAATTATAAATATTAATTGTGTTAAGTATCACTCTTTAACAAAGACCAGATCAGAATTGGAAGAAAATCAGAGAACAGAAGATGTTGACAAAAGAGGAATATTCATTATTTGTGCCTGTTAATGAAGAAGGCATATACATTGTTTGAATAATTTAAGTCTGAAAGGGAATGTGGAAAATGAAGAATGAAGGAAACCCCCCAGGTCATGGATAGAGGGGAAAGTTTTTCAACATTCTGGCAGCAAGGTAGAGCACTTATGATGAACTCCCGTGTTTTCTTAGGTCTCAAGAACAAATCCATAATTATCCACTTTTTTGGGAAGAATTTTGAAATAGATTTCCTAAGAATCATCCTAAGGTGGTGTTTTAATATTCTAAGCATTTAAAATGGTTGAAACCTTGGATAAATGAAACTTACATCTTCTTGCAATTTTGCATTGTCCCATGTCAATAATACCAGGCACATGATAAACTTGAGATGAGGAAACACAGCCGACCTAGGTGCTAGTAAAGTCCTTGAGGGTAACTCAAGTTTATACTTTACTGGAATTCTTTGAGATAAGCCGGAGTCCTTCGAGATGAAAAAGAAAATCATCTTATAATTTGAACATTAATGTTTCTAATGTCAAGTAACAAAATTACATAGGCTAGATAACTAGTAGAAAAATAGGATGGATTGGCTGGGTGTGGTGGCTCATGTGTGTAATCCTAGCATTTTAGGAGGCTGAGGCGGGCAGACTGCTTGAGTACAGGAGTTCAAGACCAGCCTGGGTGACATGGAGAAACCCTGTCTCTACCAAATATGTATATATATCAGCCAGCGATGATGGCACACATTGGTAGTCCTGGGAAGCAGAGGTTGCAGTGAGCCAAGATGGCACCATTGCACTCCAGCCTGGGCCACAGAGCAAGACCCTAAAAAAAAAAAAAAAAAAAAAGAAAACCTCCTTCCTTAAAGATGTGATGGATTTTAAAACATTAAGAAGATGGGTTTTCTTATTGAATCACAAACTGAAGATATCACATATAAAGTAGTTAATACACTGTAGGAGAAGTACCATTGGCCATTAGTTTTTCAAAGCAATGCTGACTCCATAACTAAGGAGTATTACTTTGATGCAATCCCAGAAAACAGAGCTGTGCAGTCAGTGGCTTTGGTGATAGTGTTTACAAGGCACGTGGTCAATTACAGCCACGGCAGTGGGGCACTGTAGCCTGTGTGCTGCCATTAAAGGGATCTACTATTTTCTAGTATTTCATTCTGGAAAGATTTTCCAAAAAGTTGCTTGTCTCCAGAATAACTGCATTATATCTGGCCGAGAGTCATATGTTTTAAAGGTCTGTTCATACAAAAGGACTTTCTTTTTGTAATCCTATTAATAGTCCTATTACATAGCCTGCAATCATTTGCGACAACATACTTGGGAAGACTCTGGTACAATGATGATGATGTCATCTCTTCCGCCTTAGTAGATAAAATTTAAAAATGGTGCTAGCATGTAAACAAAACGGAATCTGTAAATTAGAGAGGGTTGGGTACCCGTTACTATAAGAAAATGAACATTTAAGGGATTATTAGGAAATTTCTATTCAAAAGAATTTGTCACTGTGGTTTCTGTTTTCCTTCCTGTTATGAGTCAGTTTGTCAGCATTCGTGTTCGTAAGAGATGCAGTATTTAACCCTGACTTTTGTTTTCTTTTTTTTATTCCAGAAGCCTCCCCAGCTTTCCGAGGATGATATCCGGCTAAAAAGTGAGGGGGACAACTATAGTGCCAACCTCCCGGAGCCTGCTACCAGTTCTCTTTCCCCAGATCACAAAAACATGGAAATTGAGGTGTCTGTTGCAGAATGTAAAAGTGTTCCTGGAATCACCTCTACTCCACATCCCATGGACCACCCCTCCCCTTTCTATTCACCCCCCCATAATGGCCTCCTCACTGATCACCATGAATCCCTGGATAATGACGTCGCCAGAGAGATCCGCTATCTAGATGAGGTGCTGGAGGCCAACTGCTGTGATTCTGCTGTGGACGGAACGTATAATGGAACATCTTCCCCAGAGCCTGGTGCAGTGGTCCTGGTGGGCAGCCTAAGCCCCCCAGTGCACGAGACCACCCAGCCAGAACCTATTGAGAGAACAGCTAGCCGGCAGGCACTTCCTCACATCGAGCTCAGTAATAGCAGCCCGGACCCCATGGCAGAGGCAGAAGGAGCAAACGGCCATTCCCCGGGCCAGCCTAGAGATGCGCTGGGGGATGGCCTGCAGGCGCCTGTCAGCCCCAGCTCCTCAACTAGCTCCCGGTGTTCTTCCCGAGATGGAGAGTTCACGCTCACCACGCTGAAGAAGGAGGCCAAGTTTGAGCTGCGTGCCTTCCATGAGGACAAGAAGCCCTCCAAGCTCTTTGAGGATGATGAGCGTGAGAAGGAGCAATACTGCATCAGAAAAGTGAGGCCTTCTGAAGAGATGCTGGAGCTGGAGAAGGAGAGGAGGGAGCTCATTCGCAGCCAGGCTGTGAAGAAGAATCCTGGCATTGCAGCAAAATGGTGGAATCCCCCGCAGGAAAAAACCATCGAGGAGCAGCTGGACGAGGAACATCTGGAGTCGCACAAAAAGTACAAGGAGCGCAAGGAGAGAAGGGCGCAGCAGGAACAGCTGCTGCTGCAGCAGCAGTTACAGCAGCAGCAGCAGCCCCCATCGCAGCTCTGCACAGCCCCTGACTCTTCTCATGAACGTACAAGCATGATTGACAAAGCAAAGGAGGACATTGTCACAGAGCAGATAGATTTCTCTGCTGCTCGCAAACAATTCCAGCTGATGGAGAATTCCAGGCAAGCTGTGGCCAAGGGCCAGAGTACACCCAGGCTGTTCTCCATCAAGCCTTTCTACAGGCCTCTGGGATCAATCAACTCAGATAAGCCACTGATTAACTCGAGACCACCTTCTGTTGGGGGACCTCCAGAAGACAGTGGTGCCTCAGCCGCCAAGGGGCAGAAATCGCCTGGTACCCTGGAGACCTCATCAGCAGCAGCAAGCCAGGGCAGCACAGCCCCTCAGGGGAAGGAAGGGCCCTACAGCGAGCCTTCTAAACGTGGGCCCTTATCTAAACTGTGGGCAGAGGATGGAGAATTTACGAGTGCCCGGGCCGTCCTCACCGTGGTCAAGGATGATGACCATGGGATTTTGGATCAGTTCTCAAAATCCGTCAATGTCTCCTTGACCCAAGAGGAGCTTGACTCTGGTCTGGATGAGCTGTCAGTGAGGTCTCAGGATACCACCGTCCTGGAGACTCTATCCAATGATTTCAGCATGGACAACATCAGTGACAGCGGGGCCTCAAATGAGACAACCAATGCCCTCCAGGAAAATTCACTGGCCGATTTTTCTCTGCCTCAGACGCCACAAACTGACAACCCCTCAGAGAGCCGAGGAGAAGGCGCCTCCAAGTCATTTAGTGATCATGGTTTCTATTCCCCTTCCTCCACGCTGAGGGACTCTCCGTCGGTTGATGATCCCTTGGAGTATCAGGCTGGCCTCCTGGTACAGAATGCCATTCAACAAGCCATAGCTGAGCAGGTGGATAAAGCTGCGTCCAAAACCAGCAGGGATGGAGCAGAGCCACAGGGACCTGAAGCGACTGTAGAGGAAGCTGAAGCCGGGGATTTCAGCTCAGAGAAGCCTCAGAGCATGTTTGAGCCACCTCAGGTGTCTTCTCCTGTTCAAGAGAAAAGGGATGTCTTGCCAAAGATTCTGCCTGCTGAAGACAGGGTGCTCAGGGAAAGGGGGCCCCCCCAGCCACTGCCAGCTGTGCAGCCTAGTGGCCCGATTAACATGGAGGAGACCAGGCCCGAAGGAAGCTATTTCAGCAAGTACTCGGAGGCTGCTGAGCTGAGAAGTACAGCCTCCCTCCTGGCCACTCAAGAATCCGACGTGATGGTTGGGCCCTTCAAACTGAGGTCCAGGAAACAGCGGACTTTGTCCATGATCGAAGAAGAGATCCGAGCAGCTCAGGAAAGGGAAGAGGAGCTGAAGAGGCAGAGACAAGTCTTGCAGAGTGCACAGAGCCCCAGGACAAAGAACGCCCCATCGCTGCCCTCCAGAACATGCTACAAAACTGCCCCAGGTAAGTGAGGTGCCTCACACCAGAGTCAGCTGTCTGTCGTTGTTGATTTTAGCTCATGGGTTTCCATGTGGAGCCTCCTCTGTGTGTGTCTGAAATAAGTGCTGGGGGGACACTGGCACGAGAATTCCAACTTACAGGGACGTGCAACAAAAGTGTGAGTGTCCTCTAGAAGAACGCGGAGCTTGGATGGAGTTTGCCACTTTTCAGAGGATGCCATAGCTCTTTTTTGTTGTTGTTGTTCTGCTTTGGCCTTGGTTTATTACAGAGAATTTGTCCTCTTTTATTTGAAAGCCTGCCTCTTGTCTGAGAGAGAGGCTGATTGTGGCAGACAACCAGCGTGGACCCATGTGTGAACTATGTTGGAATCAGTTAGCTTGATCCTCAGTGTCTGCAGTTAAATCGAAGCCATCTGATTTGGGAGATGTCCTGTACTAACTCACCCCTCTGAATGCTGGTTCCCTTCCCAGCAATGATAGTCATGGCTTGGCATTGCAGACTGACACATGCAAAATATTTTTGTTCATCTTCTGTGTGACTGGGTTTTTCTTCCAAAGTCACCACAAAGCAACAACTACTTTGGAATCAGGGGTGGGCTCATCTATTCTCGTCATATGACCCATTTGGACAAGTTGAATTACCGTCTGCAAAGGCAGGTCCTTAATTCCTTCATATTGCCTGAGTGGTCCCTTTTGCAAACACTTTGTGTAGGTGTAGATGGTTGATGTTAATTCAAGTAGTAATTATTGTTGCTACCGTATGGATAATAATATGACCAATAGTTTTTATTTCCCATGTGGATTTGATGGCAATCAGGGATCCACACATCTTCAACTATAGAAAATGCTGCTCAAAATGTGGTCTAAGCTAGTCCAGGAATCATTTGCTACTGGTTCTTTCTAAGATAAGTTCTGATGTTGAGAGTAGGCATTTGAAAACTCGTATTGCTTCATAATAGACTGGTGGGGAAAACCTGATGCTTTACCGGAGAAAATTTAAGAATTATTACCCTAAAGTGTAATTGTTGACATTTGACTTGGTCCATCCAGATATTAATCTTATCTTGACACTTAGCTTCTATCAAATCTACAATGACACAACGTGACTTTTCTCATTAACTTTTTAAATTTTGAAAGAATCTCCAACCTAAAGAAAAGTTCCCAAGTACAGTACAAATGTTTTTCTATTTTGAATCATTTGAGAGTAAATTGCCAACATGATGCCCCATCTCCTTCAGTTTTGTAGACTGCTCCTCGGTGTGGGTCTCTGATGCTTTCACTTGATTATTTTCAGGTTGTGCATCTTTGCTAGGACCAAATTGATGCTGTGTTCTCACTGTATCCAAACAGATAGCATGTGGTATTAGTTCGTCCCATTGTGGTGACAGGTGCCAACTCTGATCACTTAATATTGATTATGATCACTCCATTGAGGGAGTATCTGCCAGGACTCTGCATAGTAAAGTTTTTTCTTTTGTAATTAATTCATATTTTGTAGGGCAATACTTTGGTATTACGTAATTTTCACTCCATTCCTCATCAAACTTTATGTCGGTATGATCTCATGGATTCCTATGATATTCAATGGATTATAATCCATTTCTTTTATGATTTTTATCCTCAACTTGTTCAGATACAGCTCACAGGATCCCTTTCTGGCTAACTTATGTGACCTTTGGAGATGTCCTCATTATCCTCTGAGTGCTTCCTCAATTTCTGGCATCACAAAATATTCCAGTTTCATCTTATACTTTCCCAACCCCGAAATCAGTTGTGTCTCCAAAGAGCACTAGTTTCTGACGATGGTATTTAGAAAAAAAGATCTGGGTGCTAGATGTGCTCATTGTTACTGAATTGTGGCTGGTCCTAGGCACTCTCAATGGACAGAGTTAGAAATTATACACATCTCTGGGCTGGGCACAGTGGCTCACACCTGTAATCCCAACACTTTGGGAGGCTGAGGTGGGCAGATCACGAGGTAAAGAGATCAAGACCATCCTGGCCAACATAGTGAAACCCTATCTCTACTAAAAATACAAAAATTAGCTGGGTGTGGTGGCGCATGCCTATAGTCTCAGCTACTTGGGAGGCTGAGGCAGGAGAATGGCTTGAACTTGAGAGGCAGTGGTTGTAGTAAGCCAAGATCGTGCCACTGCACTACAGCCTGGCAACAGAGTGAGACTGTCAAACGAGAGAGAGAGAGAGAGAGGGGACAGAAGGGAGGGAGGGAGGGAAAGAAATGATACACATGTCTCTTGAAAACCATGAGTTCACCCTGATACCTTTTAGTTCTAATTTAATAAAAGGGCCATTCATACTTTCTCCCTTTCTATATTTGTAACCACCTTCCTGACAACAAGAGACTTAGTTTTTATTATCTGTAATATGTTTGTTATTTAACCAGCCCTCCTCCCACCACACTCCAGTATAACCAGTCTCCTGTTTTCCTCACCAAACTTGGGCTCTGACATCATTTTCTGGGTGGCCACTGCCAGCCCCCATCACCAACACCCTCCCTACCCTACCTGGGCTCCAGCCCCACAGCAGGTACCGTCTTGCTCAGCCTGGCCTACTGACTTGTGCAATGAATTGTTTGGGAAGGAAAGGAAAGGGAGGAAGAAGAGGAAGAGTGCAGTGACTTTCTTAATATATGCCATCGCATTGGTGATAAAATTTCAACAAATAAATATTGGTGGGGGCACAGACATTCAGACCATAACAGTGGGTATTTTCAGGATTCTCTGACTATCTCTTAATTGAACACCTCACCATATTACCCCCAACTTTATTTCTAGCACATAAACAATTGTCTAACGTAAAGACATTTCAATCCTCTTTTCTGATTCCCCCACTGGCTGTTGTTCGTCAGGCTTCCCCACCAGGACCAAGGTTGCCTTCAACAAGTCAGCATCCTAAGGCTTGCCACTGGCAACCCAGTATCAGCCTCCCCAGCACTTTCCTCTGTGCTAATACTGATCTCTTCTCCCATATCCCATCCCCGTAGGATTGATTTCTGGTTCCTACAGGGGGATGGTAATTCATCCGTGGAAGTCTGTGCTCTGCTCCAGTCTTGATGTCGTATTGAGTACAGTCATGATAATGTGCATACATGTCATTCCTTCATGTTTATCTCTGGAACATTTAAAGCTGGCCCCCTGGGCCTCCCAGAATTACAACATGAGTTGAAAGAAACTGAACGTAAAACACAATTTTCTTCCTGTGCGTGCCTGGAGATCTTTGGAGTATTGCTTGGCCGGCCAACCTCCAAGTTCATGATCAGGGAGAAGGCTGACACATGACTCTGAGCAGCCCAACTAGACAATTCATGGCCAGGGTCAGAACTGCTGGACCCGACGGTTTTGTGAATGGAGATATTACCTAGTTCCTATGGCACATTTCACATTTCATGCCAGAAGAAGTGACTCCGCTAGTTTGTTGTGTGACTTACACTGATGATGCGGTACTAGGTGATGAAAAATATAATTTTTAACTTCTCTGACAGAAATCGTGCTGGTGGCATGCTGGAATCCTAAAATCTTAAAGCAAATAAAATCCACTGAGAGCCAAGATGTGGTAAGGAAGGAGAAATCTTCTAATTCTTTCCATAGAAAAGTTGTCTAGACAGAAACTCCATCCCCGAGGTGTGGAAATAATACTATTTTGCTTTTAGTGGTTTTCTTTTTTTTGAGACAGAGTTTTGCTCTTGTTGCCCAGGCTCTGTTTTGAAAGGATATAGTCATTGTTAATGACCATGTATTTGGAAATTATCTTCTTGGTTCCTAGTTGACTTTTTTTTTTGTTTTTGGGGTTGGGAGTGGAGATGAAGTCTTGCTCTGTCACCCAGGCTGGAGTGCCATGGCACGAACTTGGCTCACTGCAACCTCCACCTCCCAGGTTCAAATGATTCTCCTGCCTCAGCCTCCTGAGTAGCTGAGATTACAGGCACCCACCACCATACCCAGCAATTTTTTTTTTTTTGTATTTTTAGTAGAGACAGGGTTTCATCATATTGGCCAGGCTGGTCTCCAACTCCTAACTTCAGGTGATCCACTCACCTCGGCCTCCCAAAATGCTAGGATTACAGGTGTGAGCCACTGCATTCAGCTCTTATTTGACTTTTAAAGGAAAAAGCTCCACTTAAATAGAATTTGTGTGACATTTGTTTATACAGAGGTGAACAAAATGTACAGTCCCTGCTCTCAGGGAACTTAATGGTTCAGTAAGAAAAACCACATTAAACAAATGAGGTGATTTTCTGACAGAGAAGCACAGAGACCAGTATGAGCACAAAACAAAGAAGACCATATCATTTAGAGGATAAAGAAAGCCTTCCTTCCTTAGGAAATTCTTGTCTAAGCTGAGAACTGAAGGAATAAAGTTGGGCTCAGGGTGTAGTGGAGAAGGAAGGGCACCTAAGAGAGGCTCACAAGGAATAGAGAACTTGGCACCTTTGAGGTATTTAAATAAGGCCAGAGTAACTTAAAGGTTAAGAGATTTGAAACAAAACAGAAATTGATTTGGAGCCAGACAACCAAGCGCTCTATCAATCATGTTAAGGGTTTTAGACTTTAGAGTTTATCCTATGGTCCGTGAGAAGACACTGAGTTTTTAAAGGAGTAATTATCTTTACGCAACCCCAAGCTGTCCTGCCTTCACTGTAAGTTGATGGACTAAATGTCTTCCTGTTGTAATGAATCCATTTCACAGGCTTGGATTGAGCTCTTCCTGCTTACAAGCACTTCTGAAGGCAGGTGCCATCTTGTGAATACCCTGTATGTTATGTGTGAGGCCATGCTTCCAATAGTGTGTGCATGTGTGCCCTCTGCTGATGGCACTTAGAGACTAACGGAAGAAGGCCAGAGGTGCTGTCTCATGCCTGTAATCCCAGCACTTTGGGAGGTGGAGGCAAGAGGATTGCTTGAGCCCAGGAGTTTGACACCAGTCTGGGCAACATAGCAAAACCCCATCTCAAAAAAAAAAAAAAAATTAGCCGAGTGTGGTGTT